TCTTGCCTGATACACAGCTGCCCTCCTGCCATCCCTCCTCTCCCTCTATGTGGATCCTTCCCCACTTACTAGATCTTCTGTTTCTTCCATCCCTTGTTGTTCTCCTTCATGCTTTACACCCTTGTTTTGTTGGAGCACATCCTCTGGTAGCTGAGGGATGGTGTGTAGGAAATAATTTTGTTGAGACGTTGCATGTGCAAACGTCTTTGTTTTAATCTCACATTTGATTGTTAATGTTGTGAAGTGAGGGATTCCAGGCCAGATAGCAGTTTTTGTCAGCTTTTGGAGGCACGCTCTGTGATTGGTTAGCTTGCCCTCTTTGTGTTGAGAATTCTAGAGCTATTCTCATTCCTGCTCTTTCTTATGGTACCTGGAAACTTGGGGAAATATTTTTTTGTTGTCCTCAGTGATTTACTTTTCAAGATAATATGCCTTGATATGAATCAATTTCCATCGATTTTGTGGACAATTTGGAAACTTATTTCTGGAAAAATTTTCTTAAATAATTGATGATTTCCTTTCTTCTTTTCCTCCTCCTCCTTCTATCTGGGGGTCCTACGGGAGTGGGGTTAGGATTCCTTTTGTGTTGAGCCTCGTGAATTGATCATCTAGTTTTTTCATCCCCTCTTTCTTCTTTTTCTCCTCTTTGTCTTTTTGCTTTGCCTTCTGGGGCATTCCCTTACTTTTCTCTTCTAGCCTGTCTGTTGAGATGTTTTGTTTCTGCTCTCATGCTTTTAACTTCCCAGCTTTTTTGTTCTCTAAATGTTCTCCTTAAAATAGCACCCTGCTCCTGTTTCATGGATGCGGTATCTCCTCTGATCTCTGGGAGGATATTAAATACGGCTATTTCTGATATTTTCTCCTCCCTACCTAATGTCTGTTTCCTCGAAGTCGGCCCCACTTGCTCTGTTGCAGAGCTCGGTCTTTGGCAGCTGTTTCTCATGAAGGCTTTCCGCAGATGTCTGGTCATCCTTGGCTTTTTACTCACCTTTAGGGGGGCTGCAAAACTGGTTGGCAGCTCTAAGCAGGGATTGGGGTCTGTGCTGGGAAGCAGCAAAGCTCTATCTTCAGGTTTCCCCTCTAGGTGCTGGTGAGACTCCCCAGAGGAGATTCTTCTGGCCTCCTGCCAGGAGGGTGGAGGTCAGGATGCTGACAGGTGCTGTGAGGGAAAAGGGGGCTCTCCGTGCAGGACGCCGCTCTGTCCGCAGTGTGTGGCGGCCCCCAAGCCACAGAGACTGCTTCCGCGTCCCCAGGGAATAAACCTCCAGAGGGGCCATCCAAGGATCTCCAGGCTTCCCCAGGTCTTGGGCCCCACTGCTTCTGAGCCTTCGGGGGATTCCATTGTCAGCCTTCCCTGCCGCTGGGCCGAGACTCAGCTCCGTGAGGGCTGGCCACCACTTCTCCTGTGCCTCCCCACTGCCCACAGCCAGCTACTGTTCTCTTTCCTCCTGTTCTCCAGGTCATTGGGGGTTTATGCCTTTTTTTTTTTTTGAGACGGAAGTCTCACTCTTGTTGCCCAGGGTAGGGTACAGTGGCACGATCTCAGCTCACTGCAACCTCCACCTCCTGGGTTCAAGTGATTCTCCTGCCTCAGCCTCCCAAGTAGCTGGGATTACAGGCACCCACAAGCACACCCGGCTAATTTTGGTATTTTTAGTAGAGACAGGGTTTCACCATGTTGGCCAGGCTGGTCTCGAACTCCTGACCTCAGGTGATCCGCCCACCTTGGCCTCCCAAAGTGCTGGGATTATAGGCGTGAGCCACCACGCCTGGCCCCTTTTTAAAAATTTTCTCTTTGTAGTTTTAGTGGGATTTTTCAGAGGGCACGAAATTAGCTCTGTGTGTTCAGTTGTCCTGTTGGCCCCAAGCCCAGTCTCTCTGTGTTTCTCTCCTAATGATTATTGCCAAGGACTCCCCAGTCCTCCCCATGTGCTCACTTTTTAAAAATTGAAGTTTCCAAATCAGAGGTTTTAAAAATTCTCTTAGATGATATCCCTGAAAGGAAAACCTCCTGGTGAGTGCTGGTATGTCCTGCCGGCCCTGACACTTACTCTCTTCCGGCCAGATCCCTGTCGACAACAGCTGAGCGTGAAGGGCAAACTCTCTGGGGCTGGTAATGAGGCCGGCCTGGCTGGGGCCTGTCCCCAAGGGGCGTCCTCACGTGGAACAAGATTTGGTGCTGTCTTCAGAGAGCTCTTCTAGAACGTCCCCAAGGAGTGAGTTACAAGGCCCTATGCTTTGCAGGACCCCTTTTCCACTCGGGCACACAGTTCTGCCAGGTAAATTGTCCCCACTTCGCAGGCACATGCAGAACTCGTGTGGGGAGCTGAAGGGAGACAGAGATGGGCTTGAACCCCACTCTGAGAGGTTTCTGCGAGGAGGCTCCAAAGGGCAGTAGGGTCTGGACCAGAGAGAGAGAGAGAGAGAGAGAGAGGGAGGGAGGAAAGGACTCCCCAGGGAGAAGAAATCTGGGCAAGGGACAAGCGGGACCGACAGGGGGCGCTGCCGGCACAGCGAGGCAAGAGCTCTGCCTGCAGGGAGACAGGTGCCTGCCAGGCAGTGGCTGGGCCCAGCCGGGAGTTGGAGGCCACGAAAGTCTGGACCATCTGACAGCAGAGAACGGAGAGGCCCAATTAGGGCTTTTGAGCTGGAATGCGCCATTTCAAATCCCGGGGCTGGGGAAAGTTCAGTCAACCAGGCAGCTGCCTTGCTCATAGACATGGCATTTATTTGGTGGTTAGCTGTAGGGCTGTTTAGCTGTATGCTTGGAATTGTATAACACGATTCCCACCGGCCAAGACAGATCAATGACCCAGACAGGCTGGAGGGCCAGAAATTAAAAGCATGAAGCTCATAAGTGGGCAGTGGCCACTGTCTTGGCCACCGTCTCTGCTGCCAGCAGCCCAGAGCCCCCAGCATGGAGAAGCTCCAAATCCAGGCCCCTCCCTTCCTGGCCTCCGGGTCTTCCAGGCCTCTACCAAACCCCAGATTCCATGATGTGCTTTTCACCTCACACAGAAAAGCAGGACAGTCAGGTGCCAGGAGGAGGCTAATTGTTCCAGGAGCAGCCTTCAGGAGCAAAAGCAACATGGGGACGGGTTTGGATCTGTTTGTGTGTAGATTGGAAATGTCCTTTGACAGTGCAGGCTCATTCCTCCAGCCCGGGTGCTGCACCAGAAGGTCTTTTGTTTTGGAAATGATTGCTCAGGCCTGCCCAAACCTGTTTGGGACCGTCTAGGCCTTCTCGCCCACCTCTGGTGCTGTGTGCCAGTGGTGGGCTGACCCCAGCAGCCGATCTCTCCTGCCTTTCCAGAAGGTCCCCACTCCACTGTGTCCTGCTCCCTCTGCACCAAGGATGGAGAGCCTCCCAGAATCCACACCAGGCCCCTTACCCTACAGGCTGGGGGAGGCTGGGACTGGGGGCAGGAGCTGCCTGATCTTCTGATTTTAGGGAAATCCTAAGCTGACCTCCCACAGTCCTTCCTCTCCACCCAGGCGCAGGTGGAAACGTTTAAATGGGTTGGGTTGGCCAATCTGGACTAACAGCCTGGAGTGGGCCCAGTGGCTTTCTCTCCAGTGATCCCCCAGGAAGTCAGGGCACCTGGGCTTAGTAAGGGCGTTTGGGGCGTGTGGGCAACTCATGGCATGCGGAGTGGGGTGGCATTCGTCCCTGATGCTTGGTGACCATGTCCCATTGCTGGGGATCCCTGGGCCTGGGAAAGAAAAATGGCCCCCAGGGACAAGGAGGCACAAGGGCAGGGGTCCTGTTAAGGGTCACCTGGGCTGAACCGCCCCCAAGATAGCCTTGAGGTGGGGAGGGGCAGCGGGCTTGGGACTGCCCTTGAAGGGACCAGGGCAGCACTGGGTTCTGGGATCTCCCGTGTGTACCCCACCTCTTCTGTGCCCCTGCCCTGAGGGGTTGGCGCTGAAGGCCGCAGGGTGCTGACCGCCTAAGCCCACCCGGCCATGGCTCTCCCCGCTCGCCGCCCTCCCCGGCCGCGCGACCGCCCGAGCCCCCTCCCATGCCGCGCGCTACGCGCGCCGCCCGAGCTGCCACCGCCGCCGCCGCCGCCGCCGCGTGCTCCTGCTGCCGCCTCGCTCCAGCCGAGCGAGCCAGAGGAACGAGAGAGAGAGAGAGAGAGAGAGAGAGAGAGAGAGAGAGAGAAGGAGGGCGGAGAGAGGAGGGAGGAGAGAGAGAGAAAGAGAGAGAGAGAGAGAGAGAGAGAGAGGAGGCGGCGAGGGAAGAGCGAGCGCGGGGCTGCTCCGAAGCCAGCAGAACCTCCTCGGACAGCGGCCCCAGCCGGGCCCCAGCAGCTCGCGTGGTCGGAGGAGAAGCAGCTGCCACCGCTGCCGCGCAAGCCCGGCCTCGCGCGCCCCTTGCCGCCGGCTCGCCGGTGCCTGTGCGGCCCCGGGACGCCGCTGCCCGCTCGGCGGCCGGGATGCAGCCGGGGCATGGCCGCCGGCCCCCAGTCACCTGCCGCGGGGAGCGCTGAGCCCGTGAGTAGCCCGGCCCTCGTCGCCCGCCTCGCCCTGCGGCGGTCATTCCCATCGGGTTGAGCTGGGGGAGGGGGGCTTGGCCGGGGAGGGGCGCATGGGACCCCGCAGTGGGAGGCGGGCTGCGGAGCGCGGCCCGGGCTGACCCGAGGGCGCGTGGGGTGGGGTGGCGCCCTCGGGGTCAGGGGTCCCTGCGCGGGGTCGGGGTCCCTGGGTCCCACTGGGGCTGGGGTCCGTACGCTCTGTCCGGCCGTGGGCCAGAGGGGAGATTTTGTGAATGGGAAGGCCCGGGGGTCGGGCTCCATGGAGACGCCGGGGAGTCCCGCGCGCTGCGTGGCGGTGGCAGTGGCGGTGGCGGTGTTGGTGGCGGTGGCGGCGGCGGCGGCGGCACAATGCCCGGCGCGGGGAACTCCCCGGCGGGGGGAGGCAGAGGCGCGCGGAGATCCCGGCCCCGCGGGGCGCGTCCAGGGAGGCAGCCGGAGCCCGCGCGGGTGAGAGAGGGGCTGGCGACCCGGCGGTGGTGCAACGTGCGTCTGTCGCGGCACCCAGGCCCGGAGAGAGCCCTGCCGGGGTCCTCTGAAAGGAGGATCGCGGAGAGGTTGATGACCCAAAGGAGTTATGGGGAGGAAGGGGCTGCCACAGCTCCCCAAATAGGACCCCGGCCCGCAGCACCGCGGAGTGCGCGGGGGCTGAGCGGCGAGGGGAGAGCGGCGCGCAGGGCCCTACAGGGGGCGGGCTGGGGGCGCTCCGGGCCGAGTCCCCAAGCGCGTTAGGGAGGCTCGAGCCGGAGCAGAGGCTGCCTCTCCTAAGCCTTGGCTGCCCCCAGGGGCTAGAGCAGCGCGGCCGGGCTGGGGAAGCCGGGCACGCCCCTGGCCCAAACTTTCTGCCCCGGTGGCCCCGGACGGTGGGGGGCTCGCCCCAGGCGTCTGGGGCTCGCACCCTCGGGAAGGTGGTCTCCTGTGGCGTCTCTGGGTGGCGCGAGGCCGGTGGTCATTTTGATGCTGCGGGTCGCAGCCTCCCTTCCCCGAACGCGGAGCCTCCCCTGGCGCGCAGCCCTGCAGTGTTGGTGCGGGGACCGAGACGCGGCGCCCAGCGTGGAGGGGCATTGGGAACCTGTCGGGTCCCCTAGCGGCCCTGGGATCCCTGGTCTCACGTGGGGTGGGGTGGGATGTTCCCGGAGTCCACTGGCGGGGGCGGGGGCCCAGCGAGGTGGGGAGAAACTCCTGGATGACAGAGCTGCCTCCCCGTCCCCTTTGCGTTCCAGCTTTGGCGAGGGAGCTGATTTATTTAATGATCACTTTTAAAAAGGACTCCAGTGGAGCCGCTAGTCCCGACGCGCGAGACACCCCGCGGTGGAGGCTAAGGACAGAAACCCAAGGGATCCATCCGTGGGTTTAGGTCCCCCTTCCTGCCCCAGCGAGGTGAAGTCGCTTCTTGGGCGCTCCTGGTCGCTAATTTCCTGCTGAAAACGCAGGCTGGACTCGGGGACACTTCGGGTACGCACCCGGGCGCCCCGGGCACTTAGCGTGGAGCAGGTAGGAGGCTAATGGAGTGGGGTCGCCCGTAATGAGGTCTTAGAGCCGGAAGCTGGCTTCGGTTTTACTGGTCTGCAAAAAATAATGAAAAAAAAAGTATAAACATTGCGGCAGAACCTGCTCATTAAGTGTGCATCGCGGATTCGGGGCGGATGTCTTAATTAGGCTGCGTTGTTCACGGGGATATTACACTAATTAAAACCAGACCCTCCAGGTGAGCGAAAATTGTGAAGGGAGGGAGGGAGAAAAGTTGTCGAGAAGGCGCTCCCTGATGAAAGCTGAGTATGGGCCTCTTTGGGGGGCGCCCCAGGTCACTGAGCGCCAGCAGCATGGCGGGGGCGGAGGAGGGGAGCCTTCTTAGAACCATCCCGGCTTGCCTTCCTTCTCCGCCTCCTGCGGGCGAGGAGCTCCCTTTGGCCGAGGACCGAGGCTGGCCCCCCCGCCCCTCCCCCAGGACTGGAGGCCTTCCTGCGTGGGCGCCTCGCTCGCTCACCGCACACTCCTGGAAGCAACGCTTAACCCCTCATTTCCTGGCTGACAGCTTCTGGGAGGGCAAGGCTGTCCCCAGGAGGGCGACAGAGTGGGTGACGTGGGAACCCCTGAAGGGGTTAAGGAGCAGAAGCACGGTTGAAGGGACGCACCCAAGCCGAGACAGCCTGGGCCTGGCGAGTTGGCTGCGTGCGTGCGTGCGGCAGGGGTTGCCACTGGTGCTGGGCTGTTTGTTGCATGGCTGGGGTTTTCGGGCGTGAGTTGTCCATTTCTAGCAGCTATCTACTCCCCTTCCCCCAAAGGAAAAAGGGAACCTGGATGATTGCTTTGATCCACCTTCCTCAGGTGCCTGGGGCCTAGAGAGACCCGTGCCCAGCCCGGGGACCTCGGGTCGCCTCGGGTTGCCAGGAGGAGCCAGGAGTCCAGGGAAGTCCCTAGGCTCCGCCCCTTACTCGGATGGGCCTTTGCTGCAAACGCTCCTCACCCAGTGACCTCGGTCGGGAGCCACAGTGGGGCTGGGAGTATTGACTGCCCTTCGGCAGGGACTAGAAGCTGAGCTGGAGGGAAGGTGGCAGCATGGGCGGCCCCTGCCTCAGTGGCTCAGCAGGCACTTAGCGGGCGCCAGCACCAAGGACAGGGCCGAGGCCTCCACAACTTGCCCTCCTGGTCTTCCCTCCTCTACATGGTCCCAGGGCCGCTGGAGGCGCTGCGGGCACCGGCCCTCAGGCTGCTGAGGACATGGGGAGGGCTCCCAGGCTCATTCAAGAGCCAGAAAAGCCCAGGGCCTGCGAAGAGGTAATTACAGCAAGGAGGCCTCCTGGGTACCATTCCAGAGTGGGCCTTCTGTCCTGTGCCTGTCACTTACTCAACTTGGAGCGTGGCTGATGGCGCATCGCTGAAATGGAAAGATTATCAGGCTCTTTGGTGTCTGGGGATGAACTAAGCACGGTAGTGGCCAGAGAAAATGCCATCTTCCCTGGCTGGTTCAGCCCTGCTGCCTCTCCCCTGCAGCCTTCTTTGACACCTCTCTCCCAGCCACAGTCAGCCCTGGCCTAAGGCGCCTTCACACTAATGTGTGGCAGTTGGAGGTGCCTTGCTGCTGAGGGCGGGGGCCCTGCTTGGTTTATCTGCCCCCTCCCCCGTATATGCAGATGGTGGTCTGACCCATGGCGCCTGTGCGATTAGGAAGGAAGGAATGCGTAAGTCATGCTCCTCTCCTACTCAGAAGTGCCAGAGTGGTGGTGGTGGGGGGGACGCAGTAAAGAGAGGAAAACATGTCAGTGGGCCAGAGCCACAGTGCTGAATGCGAAACTGCAACATTATTTTTCAGCCCTTGCAGGGTGGGGCTTCCCTCCTCTAGCCCAGCCCAGCCCAGAGCCTGCAAGGTTTGGTCGGTTGTCTTCCTGTGTTTATTTATCTCCACACTCCTGCTTGATACTCTGTTATAAAGACAAATGGAACCTGACACGCGGCTGACATTTGGTGAGGAATTTTTTATTTTTAAACAAGTGAAGGGGGAAAAGCCATCTTGAAACTTTCTTCCCCTTCAACAGAGACCCGTTCCTCGGGAACCTACCATCCCCTAAATCCCTGCCTGCCACTGGCCCCTGCTCCTGGCACAAGGCACTGGCTTCGTAAACACATCCCGTTTGCACCTCCACCCTTGGATAAGCTGCAGCATCTCTCCACGCTCTTTCATAAAGCAGCACGGCATTTTCACAGGCTCATGAAACATTCAGACAGCCTCAACATCTTAACTTTCTGCTGGCTCTCTGAAGTAGGCTGCTGTCTGAGCCATCCCTGTCCTCTATAACATCCTGGGTCTATCTCCCTCTCTTCCTGTCCGTCTGTCTCTTCCTCTCCCCTCACTCTTTTTTTCTCCTGTGCTTTCTGAGTGGTGCAGGTGCTTACTGTGTGATTTCCTCCTTGCATAACTTGTGAGGGTTGAGGATGGCTCTTGGTTAATGGTTGCATGGTGAGCATGCAAGGAGCATTGCATACATACATACGCTGTGCATACACAGCGGGGCCTGCTCTGGGTTGAGGACTCATAGACAGACGAGTCACCTCCCTTCAAGAAATACCACGTGACACAGACTGATTTGGTGTATAAAATATAGACATTTTTAAGTGCAATGCACTTAGTAAATTAGTTTGCTATCACAGTTTCTCCAACACATAAACTGACACCAAAACACGCCTTAAAGGGAGACTGGAATAATAAAGAGTATAAAGTCTGTTACTTTATTTGTAGCTTGGGGCAAGCTCACAGTCTATCAGTTGCATTTTGAAAAGTGTGGTCAGGTTCTAGGTGGAAGGAGCCGTTCTGGATGCATCTTGCTTGGGTGCCACGTGCGTCACCCTCTTGGCCTGGGAAAGGACCGTCCATCATCTTTAATTTAGGGGCTTAGGGATGTGCTCCACTGTGTGATAGGACTCGTACGGAAATTACAAGTGCTGAGTGGACAAGCATGTTTTCTCCCAAAGCAAAGGCCAACTCTCGGGTGCAGGGAGCTTGGTGTCATCAGGCGTCTGATCCTGGCCCTTACCTGTAAGACACATGGGGGCCTTGACTGTTCTGGCCAGGCATCCTTCTGGTTTCTTCCTGGTCTCTAGACAGACCAGCAGCTAGAGATGGTCTCCTTGCCCCTCCTCTCTCTCCTCACTGCTGCTGCCCCTGCCAACTCTCTGCACTCGAAACATTGACAAGACAATGGTACTGAAGGCTCTGCAGTCAGGGGAAAGGGGGCAGAAGAACAAGGGATGGGGTGGTCTCCTCTATGGGGAGTGTTCCCCTTGTGGGTAGAGTAAGCTACAGCTTGGGGAGGCTTTTTAGAAGTGAAAATCAGTCTTCCCTTGGATCCATCTCCACTCCTTCCGTGTAGGTCGGGGCCAGGTCCTGCGGGTTCCACCTGAGAAGTGGGTTGTAACTTGCTGGTGTCAACTTGAGTTGGGGGTCCTCAGCCTCCGTGGTTTCCTCTTAGGACCAAGAGCCAAGCACTTGGTATTGCAAGTTTTCTTTTAAGGTTTAATTATTTGTGCTCAGAACATATTCCCAGCAGAAAAAAGAAAGAGGGAGAATATATATATTTTTAGAAGGAGTTTACTTGCTTGTTGCTTTGGTTAGCGGCTGTGCTGAGAGCTTTCTCCCAAGATTCCAGAAGAACAGAGGCCTAGGCGGAGCAACTGCACCGTACCTGGCCATCTCCCTCCTGGACCCACCACTGGCCATCAGCTCCGTAGGCACAGGTCTCTGCTTGGCTGGCTGCTCCATACTTGGGAAGGTGAGCCCACCCTTCCTTGAGCGCTGGGCTGTGAGTGGAAGCCAGCTGGCGAGGAAGGTGGCCGGGTATGTCTGTTTTAGCCCTTTTAGAAAATAATCCCATTTGCAGGCGAGGAAATTGCCCGAGCATAGAAAGCTGCCACCAGCCAGCCCCTGAACAGTTTCAAGTCCTTGTTTGGGGGCCCGGTTGAGATCATAACATGTATCTTTTGTACTAGAGAGGAGGATCCTGTGTGCCTTTATATCTCCAAGGCCTCTTGTCTTGCTTCAAAAATTCTCCCTCCATCAAAACAAACACACAAAAGTAACCCGGACCTCCAGATCGGATTCTCTTCTGCAGGGCCACCAATACTGTAGTGGAGGCAGCGTACCAGGCAAACCAAGGGCACTTTCAGAGTTCTGCCCATGAGCAGCCCGAACACCACGGACTGCAGTCCTCACCCACGTCTCCTCGTCTGTGACACCAGATGAGACCCAGGGATGAAGATGGCAGGAACGGTGGCCCCCAGAGTCCAGGTGCTTCTCCTGCCCTTGCTCTCATCCTGCGGTTCGCATCCTTGGACACCAAGCAAATGCCCATTCCCGGGTCAGGCTCATGTCTCCGAATCGTTTGCTTTTAGGCAATGGTCATGAGAACATGGAGGAGCAGGCTGTCCTCAGCAATGAGACTTTTAATGGAAAAATGGGAACCTCCTTTGGAACCAAAGGACATAGAGTTTCCTTGTATTAGGAAGGTCCACAATTTGGAGAAAGATTTAAAGCAGTACAAACACCCTGGTGCCTTTAGAAATCATTTCTCACTAAACTTTCATAACTCCAAACTCTTACTCAATGCCAATTAGAGGTTTCTCTCCTGGATTACATCAAAAACAACTCCTATTTTTTTCTGGAACTTTTGAGGGCAGGGGGCTGGCTGAAGCTCCAGGGTCTGTTCCTAAGAGCTTCTGGGCACCTTGGAATCAAGCACCTGATGATGGTGACCTCTTCTTCCCCACCCCAGCCCACCCCACCCCACTTTTGAAAAAGCAATGGCAAGAAGGGGTTTTTAGCCTTTTGTTTTCAGCAACGAGGTATGAGGATGACTTTCTAGTGCATCACATGGGAGAGCCACACACACCAGTATGTCCCGACATTACCTGTCACCTTGAGATCCGCGTAAAAAAAGGAAACCCAGAATATGCTTTAAACTGGGTCCGTGGATAGGCTCCCGATGGGCTCTGCAAAGCCTACTGACCTGCTCTTGACACTTGCCCTTCACCCTTCACCCTGGAGGTGTGGCTGAGTCTTCACCTGGTTAGTTTTCGTATTCATGGGAGGTTCTGAGGTTGTACATCTTGGCAACTCCCCAATCCCATCAGCTCATTCTTATAAGACTCACCCTTTGCCCCCAGGGCACACACAGTTACATGCACATTGAAATGGAAGCGACTTCTGAGCAAGGCAGTATGTCAGTTACTTTTCATGAGACCTTAAAGCCCGTCAGGGCTGGCCGCACAACCTGTGGGTGTGGTGAGTGGATTCGGCCTGCACCTGCTGGCTGGTGTGAGGGCTCTGGGCAGGGACAGCCTGAGGCCAGAGCTGACTTCTGATGGTGGCAGGGTTGCCTGCAGCAGACCGCTGGAGAGGGCGTGCACCCTTCCCAGCCTTGTCACCCAGGGCAGGCTCTGGAACCTCAGTTTAGCCAGCTGAGAAGCAGGGACTGCTGCGTGGATCAGGGGATCTATGTAAAGCTGCTGACGTGGTAAATGGTACCCTTCCCTGGGGCTATCCACCTGGTAGAGGGAAGAGCACGTTGCTAGGGTTAGGAAGGGTCAGGGTTAAGGAATGGATTCCGAACTGTTCCCTGTGGGCACAATTATGATGCTGCTTTAAAAGAGCTCCTGATAAACTTGCAGATGCTAGGATGGAAACAACCCTTAGCATGTCTCTAAAGAGAGGGAGGGGTCTGAGGAGACCCCCCCACTCCCTCGGGCCTGGAAGGGCTCCCTGGAGCAGCCCCCAGCAGCTCATGTCCTTAGGAACACCCTGAAGCCAGGCAGAAGGAAGTGAGGTCCTGTCTGTGGGGCCATGGACTAGGTGGTTACCCTGGTCAGGCCATCCAGGGGGCAACAGGGCTCCTGCCTGTGCTGTGCCCCCGCAATGGGCCCACTGTGCTCTCCCCATGCCTCCACTGCCAGCGGGGTGTCAAGAGTACCACAGGGAGGCCGGGGCAGGGTGGCTCACACCTGTAATCCCAGCATTTTGGGAGGCCAAGGCAGGGAATCACCTGAGGTCAGGAGCTCAAGACCAGTCTAGTCAACATGGTGAAACCCCGTCTATACTAAGAGTACAAAAAATTAGTTGGGTATGATGGTGCACGCCTATAATCCCAGCTACTCAGGAGGCTGAGGCAGGAGAACCACTTGAATCTGGGAGGTGGAGGTTGCAGTGAGCCAAGATCACACCACTGCACTCCAGTCTGGGCAACAGAGCAAGACTCCATCTCAAAAAAAAAAAAAAAAAAAAAAAAAGAAAAGAAAAAAAAAGAGTACCACAAGGAGAGAGGGGCACTGCAGCAGGTCCTCTTGCTTTTGCAAAGGGAGTGGCATTGGATCATCAGGGACGAGGCTCCAAACCATGCCAGTTGAATTTCCCCTGAGGGAGAGGAAAGGAAGGAGGATCATGGCCTCCCTCCCCCAGCCCTTCCCGGGCTCCTTTGAGCCTACAGTTTGCAGCCACATTGCTTACCGTGCAGGCTGAGGGATTCCAGCCCACCCCTGCCTTTCGTGTGGATATGTTTTTGGATCTCAGGTCTCAATGCATGAAAAACTGAAGCACAGCTTTGCAAAGCCCATTAGAAAAAAAACAAAGTGTGTGCTTTTATTCTTTCTGGAATATTGCCTATCATTGATGTGAGGCCATTAGGCACAGCTGGGGGCCCCACGGCAGGGACGGGTGAAGTGGAACCAGAGACTGAGGGGCTTCTTCCACAGGCTCCTTGTAGACCTGGGACGGGGCATGTGGTTCACCGGTGTCCCTGGCTGCGTGCCCCCAGCTGCTGGGGAGGAGACCAACAGTGGTTGATTGTGTTCCTCTCAGGGGTGCTATCCAAGGGTACATTATTCAAGTATTTTGGAATCTTGGCAGAAAAGAGAAGAAATTTAAGGTGAGAATTACTGTTGTCAGTGGCGTAACATTATAATCAACACTCCCAGAGAGCCAATGCTGTGTTGAGCTTTATCGTCCAGAAGTCTGTTTGATATCTTGACAGCTGGGAACCTTTAGCTGATGGCCAAAGGGTGGGAGGGAGAGCAGGTGGACGATGGCCTGTGTTTGATAGGGGAGCCTGTTACCCTTTTCCTCACTGTTAAAGCCTTGTGATGGTGTCTGGGACAACTTTACGGGATGATTAAAGGCCATCTTCCAGTGGATACATTTTTCTTTCTCACCGGCAGATCTCATCCTAGGACAGTTGAGAACGATACACCTAGAATCTGCCTGCTTTTAACTCTAACAGCATCCTTGGGCCATGGACGGGGGGCTTTCTGCAGATCTGCCCTTTGTGTTTGAAAATACATCTGCCTGTGTGTGTGCGTTGGCAGCGTTGCCATAACCAGCATTCGCTTTCCTGACTTGCCCAGGCTGCAGCATGCAAGATGAGTGTTGCATGGGTACCTCCCCGCCTCTTAGACTTTTAAAATAGAGCCATCTCTCCAGAACAGACGGGCACAACTAAGACAGGTCACTGATAACAGTATCAGTATCTACATGCTAAAGACACAGCTCGCCTCATTTCCCACGGGGTTCTTTCCTTGGTACAAGTCACCCAGGAGACTGACTTTGGGAGAAGTAATTTCTCCCCGTTCCGGGTATGTTTTGCTCAAAATCTAAGAAGAAAACTCACAAGACCAGACTAGGAAAATTTCAGCCCCCAAGGATAATTTTTCAGAAAGTAATGAGCACTAGAAAATGAGGGCTATAAAGGAAGTCTTTAGGTAATAATCGTAACTATAATGTTCATCACTTTGAAGTGCATTAATATATACTAAAATTACAGAAAATATTAAGTCTGCTGCAGGGGAAGGGGGCGTGCTTTGGAGCTTGTGGCTAAACCTCCTGGACCAGCTCGGTTCTCCAGGCCACAGCTGGGGCTATGTGGCCCCTGGCCCGTCCCTGCCCTCACAGAGACACCTGCCCTAAGAGAGGATCCTGTGGCCCTAGCTGGGGCCCAGTTGCAGACACCATGAAGGCTGGATGGAGAAGCAGTATCCCCCGCAGCGGGCTCCTTCTGGGGCTGTGATGTTTTATAGCCTGGCAAGGGAATGCCAAGACTCCCTAAGGGCCTGGCTCACTTTATCAGGGTCCTGCTGCTTGAGAGCGGGAGCCTGGGAGACGAGGTGTGTAGATGCCCCAGACGTGGCCCCTGGAGGCTGCAGTCAGGCTGAGGCATTCATTCCTCCGCAGTGGTCCTGGGGTGGGGGAGCAGCCGGAGCATGGCTGTGGCGGCCGCATGCTTTCTCCTGCTGCCTGGCTCTCTCTGTTCCCCTCCTGACCCCTGAGCCTCTGCCTCTCCTGCGTTCCCCTTCCTCACTCCCCTCTTTCACCTTCAGAGCTAGCGGACTTCTCCAGGCTGCATGTAGGCGAGGGGCTGGCAATTGGAGGTCAAGCAGGCTGAGCTTGGAGCAGCGGGAGGAAAGATTTACGGTCCTCCCTGCCCGGCTTGATGGACAATTAAAGCCACACACGGTTGGAGGAGAGCAGTGTCGTGAAGAGTCAGGATGGTCAGAATAAATCAGTCACCTCCACTTAGACGGCTGAGCTAGACTGCTTCCCCTGGGGTGTGGATTTGAAGGTTCCAGAATGGGCTGTTCAAAGGTTTGGCATACTCTGAGCTCCATCAGAGTCAGAGCCTGAAGACCCTGGGGGTCTCCTCACAAATGGGGCGTGTGCTGTAGGGAATTAAGGGAAAATTCTGGATAATGTGTTTAGAGGGCATTTTGTTTCCAGGGTACCTGGCATCTGCAAGAGTCTCAAACCTGAATGTTTGGGAGTCAGGATAGTGGACCCCCACCTGCAAGCAGAGCGTGTGCACGCATGTGCTTGTGTATGCTTGTGCACATGTATGTGTGCACAGGTGTGTGCACATGTGTAGATTGTACATGCATGTGCCTGTGTGTAGAGTGTGCACACAGGCATGCATGTGCATCCTGTATGTGTCCATGTGCGTGCATTTATGTGCACATGCACAAGTGTGTTTCTGCATTTGTATGTGTACCCACATGTACCTGTGTGCATGCATGAGCATATGTGTGCCGTACATGTGTGAGCACATGTGTGTGTCGTGTGTGGGTACTAGTGCTTGCCTCTTGGACATCGCAGGCTCCACTTGTGTCTTTAAACACACACACCCTCTGCAAGGCTGCCGGGAGCTGGGCTTCTGAGCATCCGCCAAGCCCTGCGGCCGTCCTTCTTCATTTGTTCTGTGTGTTATTTCAGTACCTTGAAGACTCTGGCAATTTCCTCAAGGAAACTTTGTCTTTGTGGAAATGAGATGCCAGCACTCCTCGGCCCTCCCACTGGCTAATTGATGATATGATCCCGCGTGGGAGACTTGCCATTCCTGGAAATGCTCTTTATTTCGTGGGCCCCCCCGCCCCCTGCCCGCCATCGTCTGATTTCTACGAGCTGCTGCATGTGAGGTGCAGGGCTGGGCGTTTGCTGTGACTCAGCCCATGTGCCAGGCCTTTCATTAACTTGGATACTACAATTATGTGCGCCAAGAGACTGCGAGGGCCATTTAGGATTTTTCTCCCTTTAAGAAAATATTCCTTTTTCCCCAGCCAGGTAGCCCAGCCCTTTGCCTCTGCAGCTGTGGCCCAAGCTGTGTGCTGGCCCCAAGCGCTTCTCAGCTCTCCTGGCACCGACCTGCAACAAACTCTTGCTGGGGGGCTGGGGCTCTGCCATGGTTCTGTCGGAGGTGTGCAGCAGGTGGTCAAGGCAGCCTGCCCTTGGGAGCCACAGGATGTGACCTGCTGTGGCGGCTTCACGGTCACGGTGTGAATAGCAGCATGCGTGCTTTTGTGCCTGTGTGAGCACACACACACCCCATCGGCACACGCGAGGATGACCTTTGGCACAGCACACCTGCTGCTGTGGCCTGCACAGAGAAGGGCTGACCCCAGGACAGCGGCTCCCATTCGCCTCCATCAAGGCCAGCTGGACCCTTCACGGGGCCCTGGGAATTTCCGAGTGTGGGCCGTGGGGTCATGTCATGTGGGGATGGAGTTGCACTGGTCTCCTGCACACACGCACGCTGGCCAGCATATTCGTATGCTCGCAGGGGTAGCCTGACCCTCTTCCTCCACTTAGGAGATGTATGCATGGAAACTTGCCCCTGTGGGTGTCTTGGGATGAATATTTGGGGTCCTGGGGGGTCTGGATTGCAGAGTAACTGGGTACTGTAAGAGTTCCTCTAAATGTCGGGTCTCTTGGGGAGGGGGAGGCATGCAGCACTTCTGTGGGTGGGTGGAAGGTTGAGGAGGGGCCACCCTGGCTCAAGGTCACCCCACGGGGAGCAACCTGATCTGAGGACAGACCTGCCCGGGACTCTGGGACTGAGATGAGACACTTGCTTCCCCCTTCAAAGGTCGTGAGATTCTGGGGGCACAGGCTGCCTTCCATATGGTGCCCACAAAGCTCATTAAAAGCACCATTCAGAGGCCTTATCTCCAAAAGGAAGGCAAGAGTCCAACCCACCTAAGCACCAAATAACTCAACAACTCAAAAACTTATTTTTTTAAACTTCCTTGAGTTGCCATGGTTACTTGCACGGTCCTTGCGTCTCTGTTGCTCTACGTGGAGCTGCTTGGAGGAGGAATTAAAACCTCCAGGGTTCACCCCTTGGAAGGGCCTGTTTGTGCTCCTGTGTGGAGGAAAAGAGCTGGAGAAGGTAGGGATCTTCCAGGACCATGGGATGTGATTTTCCAACATTGCACTTCTGAGATGCTGGAGACGGAATTTGTCTCCCACGCTAAAATAATTATAGCCAGGAGAACAGAGAATACATCATTCTAAGTTAAGGTCCTTAACAACGAGGAGGGTGTGTGCGCGTGTGCATGTGTGTGAGTGTATGCGCATGTGCGTGTGTGTGTACGTGTGTGCGTGCACATGTATGTGTGTGCATGAGCGTGTGTGCGTGTGCATGTGTGTGTGTGTGCATGTATGCGTGTGCATGGTCGTCTCTGCATTGCCACCAACTTCCTCCTGGAGTGCTCTTTTGTACTGGCCACGTGTGTAAAGGCAGTGGCAGCTGAGGCCCCTGCACCTGTTGGCCGGCCTCCAGCAGGCAGTGCTTCCTGCTCCTGTGGCTTGTGCCCAGGCAATGCTACCGAGGTGCAGATATCTGCAGGGGGGTTTTGGGGAGAATTGCTAGTGAGGGATGGGAAAGAGGGTGGGTCAAGGAGGAATAAAGAAACCAAGACTCCTTCTGACCAGGCTCCTCTGTGCTCTTCAGACTGTGGGGTTCCATCCTCCTACCTGCCATGGCTCCGTGGGGAGTCCCAGGGCCCAGATGTGGCCCATGCAGCCCAAAAATTAGCTGCAAAGAGGAGAGTTCATGCTGTGGGCCAGCGGTTTGCCCTAAATGCCCCCTGTCTGGGGTCCCATTGTTTCTCCCCCATGGGATGGACAGACTGGCAGGTCATTTCCACTTTGGGGGCCCTGCAGCCCCAGTGGCTTTTGGGGGTGTCTGCTCCCTGCTGGCCACAGGGAGAAGCTGTCCTCCCTCTCTCCTGGGAAGGCAGGAGCCAACCCCTGCCTACAGGGGGCACTTAGTAGGTGACTGTGGATGCAGAGGCTGAAATCAGGTGGTACCTTCTAAGTGTCAGGCTGTAGTGACCGGTGAGGAGGGCCTTCCCAGACCCTTCTTGTCCCAAGTGGTCTCAACCTTTCCCTCTGTTTCCCGCCTCACTAGGCCATCCCTTCCTCCTGTCAGGCCGGGAGAACTGCTCCCCAGTGCTGGTGCTGGGCCACAGGGCCACACACAGGATGACAGCAGAGGGCTCATTCTTGGCCAGGGCTCTTGTTTTCCCTCGTGCCTCCTCTTTCTGCCCCGGGTGGGGGCGGGCAGAAAGCCCTTCTACAAGTCTGTAGGAGGACTGTGTCTGTCTTGCCATCTTACCCGGCCAGCCCTCTCTCATTCCCAATGCAAACCGGAGTCCCTGGAGCACAGCTGGGCTGGCAAGACCAGATTCCCCAATTTGAGGCCAGTCTTGCTTTTCCATGGCTGGGATATTTTAGCAGCAAGACAGGAGGTGATCTCAGGCTCCTGCATTGCCTTTTTGGCAAACTCATGAGCTCGCAGTGTGAGGACAGGTGCTTTCTCCAGGAAGCATTTGGGGTGACTGTGTGCGGCAGCCAGGGGGGTCTCCCTCATGAAGTCCTTTCTTATGTGTGGCCAGCAGGAGGGAGGCCGAGGCCAGGGGTGACCCCAGCATTTCTCTTGCAGAGTCCTAGGAGTGGCTTGGCTCATTAAGTAGATGGTGAAGGCCGATGGGAAGGTTTTGGATCCTTCTATCAACACGGGACATAGCGAAGCCATAGGTTATCATTGGGTGTATCTAAGGCGGTGAGCAAGTGGGACGTACTGACGTAGACAGGCACGCAGAGGACATGAGAAGCATCCACAAAGCCTTCCTCTGGGCCTGAAGTCAGCACCTGCTTTCCATAGCACTTTCTGGGAGCTGTAATCAGCACTGAGAAGGAAGAGCAAAAAATCACAGATCCTGGTGGGCGTCTGCAGCTCCGTCTCCCGTGTTGGGCTGTAAGTGCTTTGCGGGCAGGGGCTGCAGCTGATCCACATCTCCCCAGAGCACCCAGCATGGCTCTCCGCTCATAGTCCGTTCTCCGTCAACATTTGTTGAATTCTGACAGCTGGCTGGGGGGCAGGGGTCTTTGTGGCTCATTAGCTCTGTGGCCAGGCTGGGCCCACGGTGGGTGGCCCTGGTGGGTTTCCATGCCTTGGTTATTTCTGCCTCTAGAGGCTCCACTGAGAAGGGGTGGGAGGGTGTGCCGGAGGCCCTGGTCCACCCCTGGCTGGTGCTAGGCACACTCTCTCCCTGCTAATCAGAGAGCCCCAGGGCCTCGGGGCACAGGGCTGTCAGAGGGACAAGGACCCTGGTGATCTGCAGGACAGTCACTGTGGTTTCTGGCCCAGAGAGGAAATGGGCCCTGGTTCTGCCCTGCGGGTTCAGTGGGGCTGTGCATCAGCCCCAGGAGCTTCCTTCCCTCCTTCCCTGGAAGTGAACCTTGGAGCTTGTGCGATTGTTTCCCAGAACCAGAGTCAGCTGCCAAATAGAGCAGACTGCCTCCGAAAGGGGGGTCTCAGATGTCTCTTTGAGCCACCCCTCTTTCCTGGGCTTGGAGTGAGGAGTAGATGAGAGGGAGGGAAAAGTACCAGGGAGGTTCTGGATTGCTCTAGAAGATGCCAGATAATTCTGGAAGATATCCTGAGACTCCTCCAGATGTGTGACCCTGGGGCCAGCTGCATCCTTCGGAGCGTAATATACCCCGTCCACAGGGGAGTACACTCGTGATTATTGATGCTAATGGAAAACAGAAGTGGAATGGATAATTCAAGATGGCAGATGAATCAATATTATTTATATTTAGCCTGTGAATGCGCTGCATATTTCTCCGCTGGCAGATTGGGCTTCACAATTATGTTTTGCAGAATCCAAGAATTTGCTGCCCACGGGCCAAGGGCTGCCACCTTGCTCTTCCTCTAGGAGGGTTTTTGGAAAGCATAGGAGCCCCTCGTGACTTGGCGGCCGGCTTAGAGGGAGGCGCCAGGTCCGTCCTCCCCTCTGCGCGGCTGGCATGCCACTTCCCACAGGTCTCCCCGCTGCTAACACACTCCCTGCAGCCGGGGATTGGTTAAAAGCGTTAAAGAGAGAATGGCCTATTCATACACACGGTGGGTTTTAGGCAGCTGCTTTTCATGGATGTGGAAAGAGATCCACAGTCCATTTTAGTGGAAAGGAAAGATGGCAGAGCTGTCAGTGTGATTTAATCCTAAAGCATGTGGACCTGGTGCACTGTCTTGTCTTCATCTGGTATTCTCAGTGCTTAGCCCAGTGCCTGGCACAAAGCAGGTGCCCAGCGAGCGGTTGCTGACTGAGCATGTTCTTTGCTGGGGCGCTGTGGGGCTCAGTGGCGGGATCAGGTTCCTGGTCTGGGGACCCAAGTCTGCTGCTCCAGGGAGCTGTGTGTCTGCGCGCCGGTTTCTTTCTGGTGAGCTTGACCTTGCACCTTGGTGGCCCCATTACGGTCAGCCTCGGCACACCTGGAAAGTGGCTCCTTTCTCTCAATGCCGATGGCTCTCCAGGCGGGGGTGGGGGTCATTCATCTTGTTACTGCAAGGGTGAGATGGGGAGCGTCATCCCAGGGAGTGGGATCAGCGTCTCCTGGGGGTGTGTCCTGAGGACTCCGTTCTTGGTCAGCACTTGTGCCAAACATGGTCCCGTCTGGTCTCCTCTTTGAGGACCCAGTAAATGCAAACCTTCTGGCCCTCTGTGTCGCACCCACAGGGGATGGAGGATAAGAGGAACCACATGTGAAAACTCAGAAATTGCCAGTGGAGGCTTCTGAGGGTGGCTTCTGGGGTGTGCCGAGGGTGGGGAAGCGCTGGGTGGGTGCTTCCTTGCGTGTTCAGAGGTGTCCCTGGAAGGCCTCACGGCTGCCTACACCCCTGGACCCTGGACGCCAGAACCTTAGTGTGGGCGTGGTGCTCTTTGACATCCAAGTTTAAAAAGATGGCCTCTGATTTGTAAGGTGCCTTATGTTAGACGTCACATTGATTTACATCTCTATATTTAAAAAATTGGCCCTGCTCACACTGCCCTCAAGGAAGAGTACTGTCGGGTCCTGTGGTCCCAGGGACAGAAACAAGAACCTTGAGGTGCTGGGTTTGTGTGGCTCGAGTCCTCCCTGCGCAGGGGCTGGGCTGCACAGCCGGCTTTAGGCCCAGGTGGCCCTGGAGTGGACAGCTTCTGAAGTCAGCATGTGGGAGGCAGGGCCTGGAGGGGGTTGGCTGGTGGTGTGAACAGGAGCATCTGGGGACAGCAAGCTATTTCTGTCTCTTTCCTTGCTGTGGCCTGGGTGCCTCCAGGTGCCTCCAGAGGGTCAGGGCTATGTCTTCCACTTCTTGTTTGTCCCTGCTGCCCCGCAGAGTGCCATTTCCACAGCTCCATGTGCAGAATCTTCTAGAAGAAAGACCTTGTTTCTGGACTAACCCCCTCAGTCTTAAAAGCTTCCACGGGTCTTAAAGAACATTCCAGCGCCGTCTCAGCCCTTAGTTCTGAGACCCTTCTACTTCCGGTGGAGAAGGGGGGTCAGGAGACACCTCTACCCTCTCTGGCACATAGTAAGTGCTTAATCAATGTTGCGAGAATGCAGGAGGGACGGTTGCTCTGTCCCGATGAGTCAGACACAGGCAGGTTCATCTTCCTCAATTGCGTGCTTCCTCTGTATCCCCTTGAACCTAAAAACAGCTATCTCAGGAAGAGGGAGGACAGAGAGTTTGACTGATGGATTCCCCAGGTGCCCCAACCCTTTGGTCCAAGTGCCTCCCCACCCAGCAAGTGCCAGCAGGTTTTGGTTTCTGTCCTGGAGCCCTCTGGTGCCATACTCTCTCCATTTCCTCTCCTGGCCCTTGGGAGCAGGGAGAACAGACGTTGGGCCGCCGCAGATGACCGACTGCCCGAGGCCGGGACCTGAACTGGTGCCCAGTGTGCCCATCGGGTTCTGTTGCTCCCGGACTCCTCTTGTCGTTTTCAAAATCAAGATACAGAAAAGAAAACTAACATGTGTAGGAGCCACAACCACATCACAAAGTTATCTAAAGTGAGCAGGCCACTCTGGTTCTCAGAAATTAGATTATTTTAGAGTTTCATTGAATTAAGAAAGGAGTCCTCCCTCAGTGTTCCCAGCTCTCTGCCCCTTCCTCTGGTAGCCCCTCTCTCCACGCCCACCCTCCCGCGGCCGATGAGAGATTTTCTGGCGGTGTCAAGGCAATGTGACCTGGTTCTGTAATAAGGAGGAGGCTTATTAGAATGAAGGCCTAACAGCGTTAAAAAAGCAGTCTTTGCAAGATTGAGGCCACAGGGGAATTGTAAATTCTCAGCAAAGACCTCATTTAAGGATTGGAATAAAAACTCGGCATGCGTGTACAGGCGTGCACACATGACGTGCCCTCCAGAAGCAGACTTAGTTTACAAAAAAAGAGCTGGGAGAAGGAGGGAGGATTGGGAGCTGCCAGGGAAGGGCAGGTGGTGTCCGTGCTGGTGGGATGTGGGGTCTCCTGGGGGTGTCTGCCTGCCGAGAGTAGGCTGTGGACACACGTGTTCTTCTCTCATGGGTTTTCTCTGCACCTGCACCCCTCCCTGGAGCAGCTGCCACCCACCTCTGTCCCCCGAGAGTGGCAAGAGCCCAGTGGGGGCTGCCTTCCCTGACCCCCACCTCCGATCACTCATGCTTTTCACCTGGTGGTTGCTGCCACTAAGCAGTCTGTGGTTTGGGGCCTGCCAGGTCAGGAGTGCAGGGGGCCACAGGAGCAGGGGTATGGGGTGGAGGGTGTGCCAGGTCAGGAGTGCAGGGGGCCATGGAAGCAGGGGTGTGGGTGGTGAGTGTGCCAGGCTCCTTCTGAGTAGTGAGAAGGGGCAGGGGAGCACATGGCTGTGGGATGAAGTCTAAGGTGCTGCCGTCGTACAGAACATTTGGGATGTGCCAGGACCACCTGTACATTTCCCTGTCAAGGGTCCCATGCTGCAGTGCCGTCTGAAACAGACAACAGCCTTGGTTTGGGCCTGCCGGGACCACCTTGGGAGTGGCTGTCCCTGGGAGAGTCCTGGCGTCCTGAACCTGCTTGTCCTGGGCTCAGCTCAGTGGGAGAGGAGGGAGTGTGTTCACAGAGCAGGTGGGAGTGTGCAAAGGGAACCACTCCCCACCCAGCCTTCCCAGGAACAGGCAGCCCACGGGGTGACCTGGAAGGTCCCCATGGATCCAGCTCCAGTTGCCCACAGGGTGACCTGTTCAATAACACTGTATAAACACACATGCACATTCTCACACTACACACACGCGCACATGTCCACACACATGCACTCACCACACATGCACACGTGTGCACATACTACACATTCCACACATATTACACACTGGACACACCACACACACATTTACATATGCGTATGTTCACACACCACACACATACACAGGCATGCATATGTACACACACGACAATACTCCACCCCCCCACACATACACATGCATGCATGCATGCACACACGACAATACTCCACACACACACCACACACACACACGCATGCGTGCACACACGGCAATACTACACACACCACACACACACGCACACATATGTGTGCACATACGACAGTGTTCCACACCCTGCAGAAACACACACACATGCATGCATGCACACATGACAGTACTGCATATCCCACACACACCACACACACATGCGTGCATGCACACACGACAATACTCCACACACACCACAATACATACATGCATGCACGCACACACAATACTCCACATCCCACACACACGTGCATGCATGCACACACGACAATACTCCACAGCACACACACACCACACACACACACGCATGTGTGCACACACGGCAATACTCCACACACACCACACACACACGCACACGTATGTGTGCACATACGACAGTGCTCCACACCCTGCAAAAACACACACACATGCATGCATGCACACATGACAGTACTCCACACACACCACAATACATACATGCATGCATGCACACACAATACTCCACATCCCACACACACGTGCATGCATGCACACATGACAATACTCCACACACACAATACATACATGCATGCATGCACACACAATACTCCACATCCCACACACACGTGCATGCATGCGTGCACACACAACACTCCACCCCTGCACACACCCCATATACAGTGCATGCATGTGTGCACACACTACAATACTCCACACTCCGCATACACACACTGCACACACCACATACATGCACACGTTTACACGTGCCACACACCACACATGCACACCCCTCCACACACCCTCTGTACGTGCATCCCCCTCCACACACATGCACACATAGCTTTTATTCCATCCTCGTCAGGCTCCCGGATAACCGCACGTCAGCTTCCTGGACTTGCTTTCAAACCAGCAATCTGTGCCCCAACCCTTGCCCCAGACTCTGTTTTCAGGGGCTCCAAGCAAAGGCGGTGACCCTACAGAGAACACGCTACTGTTTGGGGCTGAAATCCAGAGGAGACAGGAGGCCCAAGAGGAAGGAAAGATGGGGATGGGCTGGGGGCTGGGGGCGGCCGCCACCTTCTCCTGGGACCTTCGCTGCTGTGCCTGGCTTTTATCACTTCAGGCTGTGCCTGGAACACAGTAGGTGCCCAATAAATGTGTACCAAAGAGTCTGGTGTCCGTCGGATGGGCAGAGCCTGGCTGGGGGTTCTCCTTTTTGGTGCCAGGATTGGTCCTGGCCATCGTGTGTCTCCTGTCCCCAGGAATTCTAGAGTGGCAGCGTGGCTGTGACAACACTCTGAGTTTCGAGATGAAGGAAGCCCCTGAGATAGCAGGGCTCATTCCAGCAGTGACTTCCAAAGCCTTGGCCCCCAGTGACACCTGTGCCGGGGGAACACATGGCGATGGGTGCCAACCCCCAGGACCACGTGACTGCCAGGTTCAGGAGGCCTCTCTGGGATCTCCCCTCATGTGGGAACCTTTATCCCCCATCCTGGCTTTTCTCCTGGACTCCTTGTTTCTGGAACAGTCAGCAGGCTTGGTAGGAAGGGGCAGCGACAGCTCCCTGCTCCCGGGGCCCCAGCAGACACGGGAACTTCTCGTCCCTCCGAGGGCTGGAAAGCTGCTTGCAGGCTTCTTTTGCACTCCCAAGAGGCTGGATGCTTGGTGAATTCTGAGAAGTTGGCTGCAGTCTCGAGGCCCCTTCTTGGGGTTCATTGAAGATTTCTTTGAGATTTGGGGTAGGGTCCATGTTGGCTGTGTTTGCCATTGTCCTCCCGGGGGCCTTGTGGCGATGAGAACTCTTACCCTAGGGCTGAGCTGATGTCCTTGCTTTCTCCTTTTCGTTCTGGTGAGAAAGGGGCCATCTGAATGCCAGGGGGTGGACACGCGGCATCCAGGGAGAAGGCAGGGGAAGAGGTCTGGTCTCCTGCTCCACTTTCGGTGCCAGGTGGCCAGAGTGAGCTTCATTGGTATCCTAGACTTTCCGCCTCCTTTCCTGGAGGAGCCCCAGCTGGGATGTCCTGGGAGGCGGACTTCCCTAGACATCATCCCAGCCCCAGGAGACCCACAGGGAAGGCAATTTACATTTCAGGTCATTAAAAAATAAAAAGCAACCCAAGGGGGCTGGGAAGGAAATAACAGTCCCAAACTTGGCAACAAATAGGTTGCAATTTTTGGAAGCTTTTTTGTGTGAAGAATGAGTTTCCAGCTCTGCAGGAATATCCATGTGCCTTTTAAACAAAGGGCAATTATGTGCAATCCATCTTTGCTTTTGTGGGCTTCCTAGGAAGGATTCTTGGAGTCTTTGCCTCCATCTAGCCCCCTCCCTTTTAAAATGACAGTCATGTGAAAGTTTCCAAATAATTGCTTGTCTTTTACCGTGTGCTATCTTGGCGCGTGTCTGTCCCCTACCAGGGCCTCGTCCCCTGGGGTTCTTATCCTGGGGATAGGACAGATGGAGACAGTAAAGAAGTGTGTGGCCTGGGAGGGGGGGTCTGAATGGGGAGGTGGGGAGGCGGTGTTGGGGCAAAGCTAAGGCACATTGGGCAGCACAGGAAGCACCCCCAAATGGGGCATTTGTCTCCCAGGCCCCCATGGCCCCTGAAGTGCCCTCCAGGGAATGCGTGGGGGGTGGAGGGCACCTTCCCTGCTGCCTCTTCCTCCTCTTTCCTTTTCTTCTTCTTTTTTAATCTGAGGGTTTCATTTTCCAGAAGCTGTCATTTTATATAAACCTCGCGCGGAGGCACATCCGTTCTCACTGCCAAATCTCCACATCAAACGCCGGTGTCCACCATTGAACTGACAGCCCTCCCCAGCGTGCCCGGGCCTTGCCGAGACCTGGAAGGACAGACCCCCCGTGGTGGGACGATGCAGGCCAAACCCACGTGGGGGTGTCGGGGTGCGCGGGGGGTGTTGGGGTGCGTGTGACCCCTCTTCACTGCTGTTCTCCAGAGCCCCTTCCAGGGGGTCCCAGCTCCTCCCCGTGCATTTCTGGTACAGCGCCCAGGGCCTCCCGGGGAAGCTCCAGGAGCCTGGGCAGGCAGCAGGGAGGGGATTGGGAGGGAAGAGGCTATCCGCTCAGGCTGAATCATGTCCTCCCAAAAAGCCATGTTGATGTCCTAACCTCTGGGACCTCAGAATGTGACCTTAGAGACAGGGTCTTCTCAGAGGGGATGGGGGGCCCTAATCCAACAGGACTGGTGTCCTTATCCTCAGGGTATATCAGGACACAGAGGCACAAACAGGGGAGGGTGATGTGGAGAGACAGGGAGAAGACAGCACTTGGCTGGGCCGAGGCAGCCACAGGCCACCGGCACTCAGGGGAGCACCCAAAGCCAGGAGAGGCCTGGGGTGGATTCTCGCTCAGAGCCCCCAAAAGGAGCCCACCTGCCGGAGTCCACACCCTGACTCAGACAGCAGCCTGCCGCAGCGCGAGAGGATCTATGCTGTTGTTTGTGGCCGCCAGTGTGTGGTCCTGTGTTATGATAGCCCCAGCGCTGATGCCCCCTCTGAGGCATTCCTTAAGTTTCCTGCCCTCGAGCACTGCTGTGCCCTGAAAGACCTGTCCAAGCTCAGGACGGGGTCTCACTATATGGCCCAGGTCCAGGCTCAGGACAGGGTCTCGCTATATGGCCCAGGTCCAGGCTCAGGACAGGTCTTTCAGGGGAGGGCTGTGCTTAAGGGTGGGGACACCTGCAGGGTGCTGTTCATTTTTAGGGAAGCAAACAGCAGTGAAGGAGGTGTGGGGTGGGCCATAGCTCAACAGATCAAAGAGAAATCGGCTTGCAGGTTCTTCCTAACCCAGGGTGAGGGTGGTCAGTACCTTGGTCAACTATTATTTATTTTCCTGGCTGCAGCAAAGTCTGTGCTCGGCTCCTGGAGAGGCAGGAGGAGGATTTGATGCCAAGCCTGCCCTTAGGATGTTTTTTGGTCTTCGTGGTGGGGTGAAGCCCAGAATGTCTCCTTGCACCGAGTCCCCAGGGGGAGAGTAAGATCCGTCGTCAAGTGCGTTAAAAAACACATGAGAAAATGCCCAGTCTTGGGCCTGGCTCAAGTAAGGCTCAAACTCATTTGTTTATGAACATTACCGTGAGCTCCAGAGCTGGATCTGCATGGGCCAGCTCCAGCAACTGCACCCCACCTGGAAACTCCTATTCATGCCTCAAGACCCAACTCAGGCCGAGTAAGGTGGCTCACGACTGCAGTCCCAGCACTTTGGGAGGCCAAGGTGGGAGGATGGATTGAGCTCAAGAGTTCAAGACCAGCAATATAGCAAGACCCCCCTTCTTTACACAAACATTTTAAAAAAAGAGCCAGGCATGGTGGCATGCCCCTGTTGTCCCAGCTACTCAGGAAGCTGAGGGGGGAGGATTGCTTGAGCCCAGGAGTTCAAGGTTGCAGTGAGCTATGATTGTGCCACTGCACTCCAGCCTGGGTGAGAGCCCATCTGTAAAAAGAAAAAAGACCCAACTCAAATGTTCCATCCTCCTGTGAAGTAGCTCTGTCTGCTTCCCCCGGGCTCCTCCATCGATTCTCCCACAGCCTTTCCCCCTGCTTCCAAGTGGGACCTGGATCAAGGTCCTGTGGTTCCCTGGTTACATACCCCCTCCCTTCCTAGGTGCCACCTGGTCCGAAGCTTGTGGTCTAAAGCTTTCCGGCTGGCCTGCTGCTCTGTGGGGGGACCTCGCCTGGCTGAGCAACTTGGGCAACTTGGGGCTGAGGGTCCTGGCTGAGTGGTTCTACTGGGTTTGTAGGCGATGCTGGTGTCCCCTGGTTACTCTCACCAGCCCCCTTCTCCCAAACAGGATTGGCCTGGCCATCACAACAGATAAGTCCAAGTTAGGATGAAAAC